GATGGAAATTGTGGCAGACTAACAGTGACACTATCGCGTTTTATCAAAAAGATAGTTGGCCATTACGTGCGTCTCCCTTCAGGTGAAATAATGGAACAACTTTCGCTAGTAAGTGGACTATAATATACATACGTTAGCTTAAAACCGATCATTATGAAATTCCATAAATTAACTAAATTATATATTTTTACTTGCATTTTTAGCTTTTATTTATTACTTGTCAGAGATTAGATGTCAAAGAATTTAGATACGTTAATTTGACTTACCTGCTTCAGTGTAGCGTATCGAATGTTTGTGTTAATAAATACTTGTATTATAACTTATTTTTTATTAGAATCTATGTTTTTAGCCTAACAATTTTAATAATACAGGCCATTATTCCACAACGTAAAATAAAACAACAAATTATTGAGTCTACCCCTCACCCACCCCATCGCTGTTTTACATTTTTTAAATAAAATTAGAACGACACTGATAAACCGGAATTTAAGTCAGCCATATTTGAGGCCCATCGCGGTGTACCTAAAGGTGCGTATTCATTATCCGAACGAACGAACGAACGAATGAAAGTGCGGTATATTTAGACGGGGACCGAACGCATGCGGCCGTTCGTTCGTTCGTTCGCTCGACCATCCGTTTCGAGTCGGTACATCAAAGGCGTTCGCCAACAAATGCCTCCGGTTTTCTCGTGCGATTCTATCGTATGGTCCCCGTCCATACCACTAGCGAACATTCGTTCGTTCGTTCGTTCGTTCGTTCGGATAATGAATACGCTTAGTCTTCTTATTCAAAGCCCTAGATAATAACATATTTTCATCATATTTTCTTTCAAACTGATAACTCAGTGTCATCAGAATTTTTATACTTTTATTTCGCCACGTATACCTACCAATTATTACCAAATCCATGGTAACGCCTAAAAAGTTAGGTGGCATAATTATATCATATCATATATCGATGGCATACCTATTATCCTTATAGACCAAGCGTTCTATCTGGGACTACTAATTCTTGTACTACTTTTTTTTATCGCAATGGTACATATAGTCTTTGACAAATAGATGGTTGTTTTCTATTATATATGTATGGTACTTGTTATCTGCGTCATCAATTTTGTGCTGTTTTATTCAAATGCATACAAGGTTATTTCTCTATACCCGCTGGGCAAATACCCAACGGGTATAGAAATAAAATTGGGTATATATACCTGTACACAGCCTGTATATTTAAATCAACATCCAAATTTTATAAAAGGAGTTTCCAACTATACACTGAACCAAAAGTCGACATAAATATAATGAAAAAGTTGATTAATATAGTGAATTAAATCATTAATTTTGAGCCGATGAACGATTTCATTGGCACAATGAAAAGTAATTCATTAACTCTATGAACTTTAAGTTCATTAAATCAATTAGGAAAAGTTCATTAGGAACAGTGTTCATTGATTTGAAGAACACGTTCATTGGTACAATGAACAGATATCATTAATATAATGTACCTAAATCCTTATCATTAATACAATGAAATAATTTCATACCTGTTTAGTTATACATTTAAAAGTCGACACTATTAGTAACTCTTGTTATACCGTATAATCGATGATGAAGATCGCTGTCATTGATATGAAAGCTTTGTTTCGGTTCTTGTTATTACCGATTCTGAACCGTCCTAGAACTCTGCAGCGCATGCGCAAATGAAATAATGTCTTCATATTTCCTTCTGCGCATACGCATCACAGTTCTAGGACGGTTCAGAATCGGTAATAACAAGAACCCGAACAAAGCTGGAATGTCATTGATAGTCATTTCCCAGCCAACTACCTAAAATAATTCTACTATAAATAGATTTCCATTTGAACAAGCTCTTAGCTACAAAAGTAACAAAATTACCAATAGTGCCGACTTACTTAGGAGCACAGTAAATTTTTCCATTAGAGCAATAAAAAACAAGTGCAATAAACTAATAATAATTTATTCAAACTTGATATAGCATATACAAGTTAAAAATTAAAAAAAAACGAATCGACGAAGAGAATAGTAATGTTTTTTTTATCACCTTTTCTGGGCTTTTGTAGCGTATGATCGGGCAGAATTAGTAATGTTATTATTAATTTTAGGGTAAATTATAATAAGAAAATTAAATTACCAGTCGATATCCTGAGGGATTTCTATAAAAAGACCATTTCTTCATTATATTAGCTGTATCGTTAGACTTGATAACCTCTAGACGAATTTGCACCAGGCCTTCCAAGTCGCATCAAGTGGGTCCGATGTTAAATTGTCGAATTTGAGGGCTTGAAGGCAGGTCTCAGCATCTTGTTCCGGTTCTAAAAGCGACGTATATCAAAATAATTATAATAATAATAGCTCCCGTATATAGCCTTTAACGCCTTGGGAGTAGCAAGGTACAGCTTGCCATACTAGAGCCGTTCGGTATACAAGGAAGGTAATGTGGCTACGCTTCAACCGCCTATTATTACCTCAGGATTGTGAATCCCAAGTACTCATTTAAGGCTGAGTCGACCTAGGTACCCAAACTATTTTTATTTTAATAAAAATAGTCGGCTGATGAAATGCCGGGTGTGGGAATCGAACCCACTACCTTCAAATTGGTAGACGAGAGCCTGTACAAATTCGACGCTTTTAAATGGAAACACCCTTTTCTATAGGAGATAGACGAAAACTAATATCGGTTTCTGGAGCTCAATTTTCATCAAAAACATGATGGTGAAAACCGCACATCAATATCTGTTACCGTTTCGGAATTACGGGGTGTTTTTCAAAAATGTGCATTTTTAACAAATCGCTGTAACTTTTTTCCTATGGAAAATTTTGTATTTCTATGAAAACATTTCCAAAGCACCTTTTTACGTAGAATTTAATGGTTTAAGTATAATTTTTTTAAAATTAATAATTTAAGAGTTATAAACAGAAAAAATGATTTTTTATTTGGGACACCCTCTATATTTTTAACTAACAAAAAAAATTAAAATTACCTTTCCAAAAATATAGCACACTTGATATTTTGTTATAATCCCCTTCGAAATACAGAATTTTTATAAGTTCGTCACTTTTAACTACTAGGCTTTGGACCCCGATATGCCCTTAATGGAATTCGAAAACCTATTTTTCCAGCAAAACAACGCACCGCCTCTGAACGCTGAAGTTATCAGCAAATTTTTGCAGCCAATTTTAAGAATAATTGGATAGCTAACCAAGACCCCAGCCGTTGGCCGTAGAGGCCGCCTGACTTAGTGCCCATGGATCTAATCCTATGGATATATTTGCGGAAAAATAAAGGTTCCTTATTCTTCCGTATAATCTAGACAAGAATTAGAAATACTAAGCAGTTATGAGAGGGTATCTTTCACTCCCACTTAGTTAATGAATTCCGCGAGAAATGTTCAAAAACTGCCCCGTCTGTCCATAACAGAAGACGGTCGATATGTCGAACACCTATAGCAAAATCTCATATCTTGGTTTGCTATTTATTTTTCTTGTTATTAGATATAGTTTAAGTGTGTTGATGTTGATTAAATATATTTTAAATAGTTATAAAATTCTGCATCTCTCATAGCAAATATTATTTTCGTTTTAATTGATGCTCACAGCTAGATTTTTTTTGCATTTTGTTGTTCAAAGTCTACTCATTTAAAGCGGGCGAATTTTATATACTCTATATCTCGAAGAGGAATCGAGCAAAATATCATGTATGTTTATCATTTTTGGAAAGGTAAATTTAAATTATTTTCAATTAATTAAAAATATATAAGATTAATCCCATCCTCATAAATCACATTTTCTGTTGATAATTCTTAAATTATTGGCCACAAAAACCATTAAATTCGTAAAATTAACTGAAATGTTTTCATAAACTTCGACATTTTCCATAACAAAAAGTTGCAAACTTGGACTATTCAAAAATTTTTGCTCGAAACGGTAACAGGTATCGATATAGGTTTTCACCATCATGTTTGGTAAAGTGAGCTCCGTCAGCAATTTTCGTCTATCTCGAAAAAGGGTGTTTTCAAAAAAGCGATCATTACACCCTATTGCCTCTACGCCACCGGGCACCTTATATCAAAATAATTAAAATGCCAAATATAAAAAAGAACACTGGAATTTACCATAATCAGTTTCATGCCTGGTTTCATGCCTTGGCTTGTTACTATGTTTTTCTTCTTTTTGTTTTTTATTTTCTGAAACATATTTGGAAACATATTGGAAAGAATAATTTTAATAGTTAGCACAACATTTTTTTGCCAATTTTATTAACATTATTTCAAATTTTCATAACACAATGTGATACCTAGTTCGGGTTATTTTTCACTTAATTTTTACTACCCGAAACAGCGTTACATCACACAAACCTCGTCTGAGTGTTTTATAGTTTCAATAACTGCACTTTTAAAAACTAAAATACTTAAATATTGACCAAGCCGCGATTTTAATATTATTTCAATGCGATCATCATTTGAGCTGCGTGAAATACAGAGCGATGGCTATGAAATGAAAATCTCTGTCATTTTATATGTACATTTATATGGGAAGTGCCATCGATCGTCATTTCCCAGCCAACTGGACGCCGTTTTTCTTTCGATCATACGGTACAATTCGACATTGACCAAATCATGAGATAACAACATTGCAAAATCAAGGTATGTTGGCATTTGCCTCATTTTACATTGTTACCTGTGCAGTTTTAATTTAAATAGATGCAGTTTTTCTTAAATTAATTAAAACCAACTTGTCCAAAATTGTTCAAAGTTGGCACGTGCATTCAGCATACGCAGAGCTTTAAAAAAACTATTTACAAATTTGCTGTAAAATCAACAGGGAAGCCAATATTTGGACAGACCCGGTATACAAAGTTTTATAACTTAACAATAAATGACAAACAATTAAAGACACTTGTTTATCATTTATTTCTTTTAATCAAAGCTTTATAAAAAAGCACTCTAACTGACAATGACTTGAGTCACATTTGACAACGTCAAAATGTCGACAAGGATTTCCCTCCATTCGAAAATATCCAGAGTACCATCCAATCTCAAATTGCGGCTGACAAAATCATCATTCAATCCAGAGGAGTTTGAGGGTGCCATAGTGGTAATACCTCCAGACGGAGGATGGGGATGGTGTATAGTTTTAGCCGGTTTAGTGTGTTTGTTCTGCGCAGACGGATCGGCGTACTGCTTCGGGATATTTTTGGACGATATCAGTAAAGAGTTCAAGTGCAAAGTCACCGATGTCGCCCTGGTCAGCTCTATATCTGGAGGCTTTTATTATATAACTGGTAAGATCTTTGCAATATTTAGAAAAAAAATCTTGTTATTGTCTAATTATTTATAATATTTTATGTAATTAATTTAATGGTTTTGTCATTCTAAGTGGATTTTATTGCTATTTTAAAAAAATATATTTTTTAAAATTGTATTAGGGCTTTGAAAAAATACCGATAACTATCTACAGAATGGTTCAGTGTTCCGAAAAACGTCCAAATTAGCTTTCTTATAATTTTTTGTAAAATAAACGGGCAACGGGCAATGTCATTGCACATTTTAAACATTCCAGGGGTATACATGTTTATTCAAATATATTTTTACAATTAAGCTGATGTTTTTTTTTTATTTTAAATATGTATTGTATTTTTTTCTCAGTGGATTTGTCATAAAATTTTCATTCCAAAATACTACAATTAATATGTGTCTACAGGGTGTTTCTCAAAAGTGGTTCACCCTTATAACTTTTTTATTTTTTTACGCAAAAACGAGATTTGCTGTGTTAGTATAAAGGGTGTTTCAAAAAACATGTACCGAGATTCCTCACGTAAATAAGATTTATTTTTTATATCATCATTGCCCCGATTCTGCTTTGTTTTGTATCTACAAGAGGTTAAACATAGTTAATTTTTAAAGATCTCAATAACATCATTAGCTTCGTTAAAATGTATTCCTTATAGAGAAAATGCGTCTCATAAGTTAGCAAATTATAAATCCTTAGACTTTGTTGTCTACAAGGAACAGCATTAGAAAAAGCGTGACTTTAACGATAGTATTATATTTTTATACCTAGCAATCTAGCAATAATAACATCTTTAGCCATCCAAGTTTTGAAATTTCTACAATATAGCAACCACATAAAGAAAGTTTCAATGCAGGTATTCTCAGTGGACAACTTCACGCTTGACTGCACCAAACTTTTAGACAAGTTTTGTTTTCAATGCTTTGCTCTAGGATAGGTACCATGCGATCGAAAAAAAAACGCCGTCGAAGACGGCTGGAAACGACAATTGATGACAGTTTTGACGAGGTCAAGCTCTAGACGTCATCAACCAGGAAGGTGGTAATAATTTATTTTTATATTGGGTAAAAATGAGTTTTAAATAGTAGTGGGAACTATCGAATGAATACTATCGAAACATTCGATAGTTGCAATTCATTCGAATAATTCGATAGTAAGAAAACATTCGTTGAAAACTATTCGAATAAAAATTATCGAATAGATCCGTCATCTGCCTTGAAATATTGTATTCTAGTAATTCGGCAGCAAAACCCATTCATTTATAAAATTCATTCATTTATGAAATTCATTTATTCGTCAGGATCGATTATAATAAAATATTAACTGAATTTTAGTTGTCGCCCGGCGACGTAGGTTTCTTTCCGAGAAACCCGACAGCGGTCGGTGGCAATGCTATAAAAGAAGCCGGCATCTTTGATTTTTTGCGGAGTCAGATATAGATAAGGACACATTATTTTTTTTTATTGAGGTGCTAGTATTTACACAGAAAATACATTATGAAGGGCGCTGTTGCCATATTTTGGTATTAGTTGATATTAGCAAAGAATATTATTGTTTGGCTTTAGTTAGTTAGGGATAGTAGTCTATATATTCTGCATTTTATTAATATTCTGTTGTTACACTGCAATAATACTTGTTATTTTGGATGTAAGAAAATGATTTTTAATGTTTTTAAGCAAAGACTGGTTTAATAAATAATAATAACAGCAATAATTTGTTATACCTATTAACAACAAAATTTAAAATGATTTAATATAAATATTTTTTTTTAGTAGTAGCAAAATATAAACAACAAATTAGATGTCAAAATTATTTATATTAGATCCTATTTAAAAATAATATAGTCTCTAAATTTTTGGCAACGTTGGTTTATTAAATAATAATAATTACAAAACTAATTTGTTATATTAACAACAAATTTTAAAATCATGAAATATAAACATTTATTAATTTTCTAAGCATGCAGTGTAATGGAACGAAAATATAAATAAAAAAATTAGAAATCAAAATTATTTATATTAGGTGCTTTATATTACTATTTAAAAATTATATTTACTTTTACTGGCATTTACTTTAAAAATAAATGAAATATTTCTTCGCAAAATACTACATGTAAGAGAATTAGCATAAACAAAATACAAACATCGTTAATTTTTTTAAATTGACACGTGTAAAACTTTCATTTTAATTTTCTCACCCCATAGTTTGAGTTCGATAACCATTTACTTAACCACATTACTTAAATATGATTATTAAGTTCAACTAAGTCATATTATTAAAACATCTAAAATACAAATATGTATTTTTATTCATTTTTAATTCAAAGTTCATATCATCTCTCTTAAAAATTGCTACTTCTCAAAATTTCCCATTAAAAAATAGACCATATACCATATAAAATTAAATAATTGAAAGATCGGACTACGGAAAACCATACAAATTTTCGGAAAAATTTTGACCACCTGCACATGCACACAATCGTCAATAAATAAAATTAAAAATAACTACTATTTTAGTATTTTAACTATTTTAATAAACGCAAAAATAGCACAGTATTTATACGGCGAAGTTATAAAAATTTGGAAGAACTAATAATGCACTGACGCATACAAAAATCAAACGAATACTAAATTTCATTTTTCATTTATCAAAAGCATTCGATAGTCGTGGCGCAACGATAACCATTTGGTCGCACGGCGAGGTTGTCACATATGCTTTAGTATACAAATGAATGAATGATTTTATTCGAATAAAACCATTCGATAGTTGAAATCATTCATTCATTAACCATTCGATAGTCTAATTCATTCGATAGTTCCCATCGCTAGTTTTAAATGATGTAGTTTAAAATTCGAGAAAAAATATTTTTTTGGAAATAGATTTGTGTGCCTGGAACTTTTGACAGTTTTATGTCAATTTTTAGTAAATGACTTCGTCAAAATCGTCAATGATTGTCATTCTTCAGCCGTCTTTAACTTATTTTTTTTGATCGTACGTTATGACAGTAGTTTTAGGATTTAGAATAGTTCACACTTGAATCAAATATGAACTACTCTAAATCCTAAACAATCAAAATGCAAAAACAATCAAATAAACCTATACCTATTGTTTAACAGGGGAAGAACAGCCGTACGCTGCGGTTTTTTAATTTTTTTTCATCTTTTTATAATTCTTGATTACCCTTTAAAAAGTCGCCGCAAGGGTAGTTTTACATCTCCGGTAGCAGTTGCACCAAAGTTCATGGCACGAATGGTTGTCATCTCGGCGCACTCAGTGATAAGGTGTTTTGTTGTTTCCCCAGTTTCTTCACAGAATCTGCATTCGTCGTTCCTTCTTAGCTCCAATCTACTGAGGAGATCTATTAGACGCGTACTAACCTGACGTGATAATCTTGAATGTAGGAAAGTGTCAGTTTATGCCTAGCTAATACCATATGATCGAGTAAAAACGGCGTCAGCAATGGCTATGAAATGAAGATCGCTGTCATTTTATATGTAAAATTATATGGGAAATGTCATCGATTGTCATTTCATAGCCATCTCTGACGCCGCTTTTATTCGATCATACGGTACTACCCTAGGGAAATGTATTAACATAATTTGCAAACTTATGAGACGCATTTCCTCTATAAGGAATATATTTTCTTTAAAACCAGCTTTAACAAAGGGATAATAATGTTATTAAGATCTTTAAAACTGCATCTATTTTTTAATTATTTTTGCCATTCATTTGCTATTCTCAATTATTAATATTAGTCTCGTGGTAGAATAAAATTGTTTAACCAAATTTTTATAAAAAATTGTAGGGTAAATCCGGTAGAGATGCCCCACTTTTCTTTTGGGGCTAATAATACATATTGGTAATTAATTGTAAATGAAACTAATGATGCAATCCTAAACTATCTTTAATAATAATTCATATTAGGACTAAGATAGTAATATAATAAGTAAGTATATATAATAGTAAGAGATGGCCTTCCAACATCGGAGAAATGCCCCGCAAAAAAATAGATCTACATATTGGTTAAATATCTAAGGTTATTTTTTATTTTTTTAACTAATATCCAAAAGTTGAGGATGGCCCTATGCTTGCTTTTTCTGTGTTGTTGTTTGCCTTCCTAAGTCTCAAAGTCCTTGCAGGGATTCGGAAAGCATGCATTATGCTTTTATGCCCATTTGGTCGGTATTAATGGCTTGCAAAGCAGCAGCCAATGATTTTTCAAACCACTGAGCGCTTTCGGGACATTTTATTTTATATTTAGTAGGCATGATTAAAAAAAGTTACTTTTTAGTAAATGAATTAGTAGGGCATCTTTACCAGCTTTCTATGTGGCATCTCTCCCAATACGATGGGAGAGATGCCCCATCGCAAGGTTTTAAAATGCAGCGACATATGATTAATTTTTTGAAGTTATGATACTTCACGAAGCATGTATTTTAATATAAAATGGCATGAAATACCAAAAATTTACATAATATTACGTTATTCCCACGCGACCTCTGACAGTAAAAAATATGTACTTATATAAAAACGGTTCTTTGTAAAAACTAGCCTATTTTTTTATTGACATTCAAATTATATCAGACCATAATAGCAGCAGGTAAACTACTGCCGTATCTAGCAGGAAGCGACTGATAAGTCACATGATTAGAAATTTACACGGTGTGGCCATCTCACCCGGTGGGGCATCTGTGTACCGGACTTACCCTAAGTATACACTTGATAATAAATTAATGAAATTGTTGATCTTTAAAGAACCTTTATATGTTTTTAGGTCCAATAACGTGTGCTGCAGTAAATAGATACGGATTTCGTGTTATAGGTGTGCTAGGAGGATTTTTGACGGCCATATCATTTTTTTCAGCCTCTTTTACAAACGACATCAAACCGTTCCTAGTACTGATTGGCATTGGCGCTGGAACTGGTTACAATTTCATTTACAGCGCATCCGTAATTGCGGTTAGTTTTTATTTTGAAAGGTGGAGAGCCATGGCTATGGCCGCTACGTGTTGCGGATCTTCTTTAGGTAAATATAGAAAGGGTTCGTTCAATAATATAAAACGTGATAATTTATAAAGGAGCAATCAGGCACATTTTTTAGACTAAAGAGTCATTCAGAACGTCGCAATTTGTGGAATAAATTAGTAGTTTCAATTAGCGTAGAAGTTTGTTCCTTTAATTATTATGTATGTGAACAGTCGATTATTAGGTAAAATATACATGGTACCGCAAAAAAATAAATACAAAAGTTAGAGGAGTTTTAAATATCTATTAGCTAGTAATATATTTAAGTATACAGGGTCGGTCATAAAGTTGTGACACATCAAAATTATTTTTTTTAACGCAATCCCCTATATGTTATTGCAGATTTCCTTCCTTTAATTTTAAGTAATAATCGTAATACACATAATGTACTTAAATTCAACCATTTCCGAATTATAAAGTTTTGATTTTGAAATGTCAAACGAATATTTTGTAATTTTCAGACCTGCTATAATCTCATTTTATACATCTACTAGCGTGTACCAGCGACTTCGTTCGCATCCAAATTAATCATTTGTAATGGTGATGATAAAGCAAAGCAAGAATTTCCATGAACATACAAACTGGATAACATTTTCTCACATTTATGTCAGTATGAGGAAAAACAATATGGCGATATTATTATATAACTTGGTAATATTGGAGGGGTAGTTTCATCTCGTTGGAATTTGACTTTCGAAAAACCCGTTTGCCAAAAATAAGCTTTATACGTCAAGCAGTTTAAGCAGAATCGTGGTTAAGAAATTACCCAACTTTTTGGAACACACTGTATGATTTTTAAAAATTCAAAATACTAAAAACCCAAATAAAATTATGCTTGTCAAGCGTTTTCCCAGACTAACCGTTTTCTAAACCTAACAAATATTGTAATATTTGAGAGGCGTTTTCACCCCCTTGGAGATTTGAGATTAGAGAAACCCCTCTTATCAACCTCTACACCCCAGTCCAATCTGTTTTGCCAATAATCAGCTTTAAACGTCAAGCAGTTTTAAGCAGAATCGTGATTACTCAAAGGTCATATTGTATAAATTTATAAAAGCCAAAATATATAAAAACAACAAAAATACAATATACGTGTTTAAGAGTTTTCCGAAAAACTCACCAGTTTTTAAATAAAATTATTTTTAATATTTGAGGGATAGTTTTACCCCCTTAGAATTCCAGTTTCGAAAAATCCTTTCTTATCGAACGTCTACACTCTAAAGTCAATCTGTTTCAGAAATCAGCTCTTTACGTCAAGCGCTAGCTTAGGATCGTGATTAATCAGCCAGATTTTTCAAAAACACCCTGTATATTTTAAAAATCTTAAAATATGTAAAAAAAAACAAAATAAAATATAAATTTTTCGGAAACTTGACCAATTTTTAAATAAAAAATATTGTAATATTTGAGGGGTGGTTTCACCCTCTTGGAACTGGAGATTTCGATAAATCCCTTCTTATCGAACCTCTACACCCCTAGAATCAACCTATTTGCCAAAATTGACCATTTCCGAATTAAAAAGTTTTGATTTTGAAATGTCAAACGAATATTTTGTAATTTTCAGACCTGCTATAATCTCATTTTATATATCTATAAATACTAACTTGAAAACTAATGTCAAATATTATTAAGTATCATAGTTTCCGCAGAATGGCACCGTTAAATGAAGCCGAACACATCGAAATGAATTAAATCGAATTGTTTAAAGCTTGATTTTCATGCATCAGTTGTCCGACGATACGTTGATACGATATTAATATTATTGGTTGAAGTTAAAGACTTCGATTGGTTAACCGTTTCTAACCAATTGAAGTCTTTAAAGTCAACCAATAAAATTAATATCGTATCATCGTATCGTCGGATAACGGATGCACTAATTAATTAATTAGGATATTTTCAAAAGTTAATAACTCGGAAACGGTTGGTTTGAGGTACACTGTGTGTATCTCGATTTTTGCTTATAATTGAAGAAAAAATTCAAATATGCAATAATATACACGGGATTCCATTTAAAAAAATTGAAACTTTGATGTGCTACGATTTTATGACCTACCCTGTATACTTAAATTTATTACTCGCTAATGTATATTTAAAACCCCTATAACTTTTATATTTAATCTTTTGCGGTACTTTTACTTAATATTTCCATACATATCAGCGACCTTGTATATACATGATGTATATGTTACGGTTAAAGTCCGATGTCGGGTTAATGTCGACATTAACAGGTTAATGTTTGGGTTAGGTTATGTTTTTGGTTGTTTTGTTGTGTGTTATTCTCCAGATTAACCGGGTAATGTCGACATTAACCGGACATCGCATAATTAGGGAATAGTATATTGGGAATAGCTAATAATACCTTAACCGTAACATATTCACCTCAGATGAAAAGTTAAGCATTTTAATGTTTACCTCCAATCTCCGATAATTATTTTATATTTTCCTGAGTATTTTTTTTGAAAAATATTTTCCATCTCTACTTTTTTATTTTTGAAATAAAGTAAACCGCTATACGCCGACATTTTGAAAAATAATATCAACAACGTATTTAGCGAAAAGATATTTTTAAGGTCTATATATGCAAAAATATACAATAGTGGAGTGCCCAGAGACTTTTACCTCGGAATTCAATTACTGTGAATATATTAATGTGAAACCTCCTGTATTGTGTTTTATAGATAAAATACTAAAATGTTTACACATTTTTTTTCGTTGCTTTTAATTTTTTATTTTAGTAATTTTAGTAAATTCTTAATTATTATTTCCTTCTTAATTTTTTTATTTCTTTAATTCTTTTTCTAAGTAAATTTATTGAAATAAATGAATCTAATGCATAAGCTATACCTATTCTACTTATACTCTAATCATTGAAATTTTGATTGAAATCGAATTATACAGGGTGACGCGTTCTATACGACGCGGTTTTTGCAAGGAGAATAAAAGTTTATATTGAAGTGAAATTTTGTGAGCTTATGTAAGTCAATTTAACGCATTTTCTAAAATTATGTAGATTTTTACAGGGTGTCCCCAAAAAAAGTTACACATCAAAGTTATGTTTTTTTGTAATAGAACACCCTACACCATATATATTAATTGATTTTTGGATTCTAGTAAAAAAATGAAGGTTTGTTTCTTTAGAAAAGTAAATGACTAAAATGTATAGTTTTTGAAATACTATCACCGGCACGAAAAATGGGCACCTTAAAACTTTGATGTATCTTAATGGTTAATGTATTTTGTTTTAATGGGCCGATTTTGATGATTTTTAGGCAGTGTGTAGCCAAATTATTTGACTTTTTAGTGGCTTCGTCTAAATTAAAAATGAAACTCCCCATCCGTTAATTATACGAGGCGTTGAAAATGTTTTGGCGAAAGTTCGAAACAGACAGAGTGTTTCAAACAATGTGAATGAAATTAAAATGGAATGTGTGGAATGTGTTAAAACAGCAAGAAATATAAAAACCATTTTATCATCCTTACTTTAATACATCCTTTTTCGATGGTTTGTTTTTTGGTTCATCTTATTCGCTTTATTTTTGTTGGGTGTTTTTTTTTGCTTGGGTGCTTTTTTGTGCTTTTTTTTGCTTGCCTAGCCAACAAATCAAATAAGTTCTGGCCCCGAAGCAGGCCTTTTTGATATAAGATTTGCTTCATTTAGTCTTCTTCGTATAGTTCGTTAGTTAATATGTACGTGCCTTAAGTGCAATTCATTATCAATTTGAAAAGTTGGCAAACGGCGGTTTCTTAGGAATAAACTTTTAATAAGTCGATCGTCTCGATTAGAAGTTCTCATACGAAGGTTTCTGGACGTCTAGATTGACGTCCTCATGAAGGTGGTCATAATTCAAAAACCACTTAGCATATTCTATGTTACTAAGGTATTTTTAGAACCGGAATTTTATAGCAAATTCACTAAACTAAACAAATATAGATATATATTTGACTCACCCTGTATATCTATAAAAATATTTTTGAAATGGGAACTACCATTGAACACATATTTTGTAAAAGGTTTGGAGTGAAAATCTCAAACAGGAATCCTGAAACAGAGCTTTTCCTGAATATGGAGCCATCTTGTATGTATGCATTTGTAATATGTGTACTTATATAAATACTACAGCGAAAGCAACGTATTTAAAGGGGCGAACTTTGTAATATATCTTATTGATAATACAATGCAAAAAGTTTTATAAAAATTCATTCACAGTAAATGAATTCCGAGTTTTGTATCCCATAAGGGCCTAAAGCACTCCACTAGTAGCAGATAACTATTTAAAATACTTTGATTAAAAAGTAAAACGAAACATTTTTGTCGTTAAATATAGTGTTTTTAGGGCTAGTTGGTTTTCCTCCAATAATGACTCTACTGCTCAAGCAATACAGCTGGAGGTTAAAATTTCAAGTTATATCGGCGAGTTTTGTAGTTTGCGGTGTACTCAGCTTCCTTTACAGGCCGATAAAATCAACTAGATATGAAACTGACTCTACCAGAGTGCCTTCCGTGGGTAAGTACATCAGATTTAATTTTGTATACCGGGTGCGTCTCAAAAGTGGCTCACCCCTATAACTTTTTTTATTTTTTCAGATAAACAAAAACGAGATTTGGTACATATGACATAAATTTCGGTCACTTCCTGTATCACCGGAAATTACTACAACTTTTGGTTTATAAATGGCACACTCGGTATTTTTTTACTTTATTCAATTGAAAATGACACTCTGAATCGAATGACATATCATATGTCAACTTTTCACGTATTCGCTCAAAAACAAATTGTATTTTAAATTTCAATCTAGAGTGCAATGACTGTGTTAAAAACACTAATTTTTAATCAAGGAGCCTTGGAAAAATAGATTTGAGCGTCTAATGTTTTTACTATCTTGTCCTGGCCGGTTAAAAGATTCCCAAATCGTATTTTTAATCATATCTATTTTTTTTTCAAATGGAACGAGGGTAGCATTTTTCATTAGCATATTTTGAAAAATAATTTTTTTACGAATAATTTGATACCACACACTTGGTATTTCGAGTCAAATTGTCTTTATGAACCGCATGTTACAATTTGAAATAAACCATATGCGAAAATGTCAAAAGTTGACATATGATATGTCATTCTATTCAGAGTGTCATTTTCTATCGAAAAAAAAAATAAGTTTCTTTTATCGAGATCTACCAGCTCTGAAAATATTTGCACTTATTCAAGATTCACCCTGTAGAGTGATATCGCGCTTTTTATAACTGTCTACCGCTGATTGAGTCACGGTTTTTTTGTCTGTTCTTTTGCATACGGCTTTTTAAATAAATAAACATGATATTCCACCAATCGACATACATGTATGCGATGATTTTTTTGTCAAATTCCATTCAGAGTGTCATTTTCTATCGAAAAAAGTAAAAAATATCGAGGGTGCCATTTAAAAATCAAAAGTTGTAGTCATTTCCGGTAAAACCGGAAGTCCAATCCCAATTTATGTCATATTCTAACATACCAAATCTCCTTGTTTTATCTAAAAAAATAAAAAAGTTATAGCGGTGAACCACTTTTGAGACGCATCCGGTATAGGCCTGGTGCATTTCAGTTGATTTCCAAAAATTCCGATCGTAGCGCTCGAACGGCAGAAATCAGAAGTTATCGCTCTGTATTTCACGCCATCCCTGTTGCAGTTCATGATTAAAATAATATTGAAATCGTGATAATATTTGAGTATAATATTTTAGTTTTTTACTAGTTTGCTAGATAATAATAATAATAATACATTTATTGAAGTTTGTATATATACAATGCAATAAAATTTATACAGATGAGTTTACAAACAAACATTATCATACAAAAAACAACAATATAATCTTACAAACTACAAAAAGGCTGGAAAAACAACGGTTGCCGATCAAGTTCCAGCCTCAAAGTTTAAAAAAAAAGTAATATAAAATAATAATTCAAATATAATAAAAAACAAAACAACCAAAGGCAATCTAAAATTTGCCACAAAAATCAGACAGAAAACAGCACCTACACGCAACATGCCACCTAATCAATATTCAGAAAGTATTTTTCTTGCTTTTGTCTTAAATTCACCCAAAGAGCAGTTCTTAAACATCTAGATTGTTGTACGTACTATAAATATTAAATGTAAAGGATCGTTCAAACAATGCAGATCGGTGCGGAGTGGGTGAAATGAGACCCCTGTGCCTCAAATTCAAATTGTGAATATCAGTACAAAACTGTATTTTTTCATAAAGGTAAGGTGGACTTTTATTTATTAAAATTGAATGGAACAGAGTCAGAGAGTGCAGTCTACGCCTAGTTGCCATATTTATCCACTTTGCCTCCTTAAGTTTATGAGATATTCATCATATCATATTTCCGAATACCATATATATAACGCAAACAAGATTTCTGAACTTTTTCTATTCTGGCGGTATCCCTAACGTCTAAACAAGGCCCATACAATACATCACAATAATTAAAATGACTAAAAATTAATGTATCGGTAATTTTTATTTTAGTTGGTATATCAAGTATTTTACGATGGGGGTAAAGCATATGCCCTCTGAAGTAGCTTTGCAGTATGTTTTTTAAATCTAAGATCCACATCCAGTTCAACTCCCAGATTCTTAGCATACGACACAGCACTTAATTCTTTATTGTCAACCATTATCTTTAATTTACTTTGTACTTCTTGGCGTTTATAACCAAAAATTAACACTGAAGATTTATTAGGATTAATAATTAAGTCATGTTTACTGGAAGCTTTAACCAATTTATCTATATCATTATTTAAAACTTTATTAGCATTATCTATGTCATTAGGATAGAATGAATAACTTAACTGTGTGTCGTCCGCGTAAAAGTATGTTTTAGATGTAACTACTTCCGAAGAAACTTGTGCTGCATAAATATTAAAAAGTAATGGGCCCAATATGGTTCCTTGAGGCACACCTCTCAGAATTTTATTTTTAGTAGATTGACTCTTTTCCGTATGAACAATTTGATATCTATTAGACAAATAGCTATGAATCATTGCAACCACATCCGCGGAAAAACCTGTATAGGATAATAAGACTGTGCTCTTTCCAATATCTGTCATTCTAAGAACATCATCCACAACATCAAGTAAAGAAGTTGTGCAACTATATCCCTGTCTGAAACCAGATTGCCTCTTCGGAAGTAAAACATTTCTATCTAGATATACTTTAATTTGGGCATTCATTATTTTTTCCAAGCACTTAGAAAGCGTTGGTAAAATGCTTATCGGACGCAAATCGCTAAGCTCTAAGGGAGGTGACTTCTTTGGCATTGGTAGAACTATACTTATTTTCCATTCATCTGGAAATGTGTTAGATAAAAGACAGCTATTGATAATATTTGTTATTATTGGCAATATATGCGGAAAACAAAGCAAAATCATTTTTATGGACACGTCGTCAGTGCCAATTGCTTCCGATTTAATATCCAGTAAATACTTATATATAATGTCTTTGTCCATCAAACTAAACTCAAAAAGTGCATTGAAATTTTTAACTGTGTGGTTTTTATAAAAATGTATTAATTCCAAGTTTGACGACGTCTCTATTCCACTATGCTGCAAAAAATAATCATTGATAAGTTGAGCATTATTCATTGACTTTGGTATTATAGTTTTTTTATTCCTCGAATATATCTCTAAGTCGCGAAATTTTTGCCATAATTCTTTTTGAGATCTATTATTATTTATGGTTTCCTGGAGATATGCCCTCTTTTCGTTTCTAATTGCTATATTTATCTGATTTCTAAGTGTTTTATAGTAATTCCAGTCTTGTAAATTTTTTGAGTTTTTATATTTCTTAAAAGATTTGTCTCGTAAGGTTATCATTAGAATTATTGTGTCTGTAATCCAAGGTGGTTTTTTCTTCTTAAATGTAATAGTTTTATATGGACAAACAGTATCAAATAAATCAATCAGCAAACCGCTGAATGCCGCAACTTTCTCATCTATGTTCTCAATATACAGAATTAGGTCAAAAGGTGTTACCAAAAGCAATTCCATTAACCAATCCTTATCGAGTCTTTTAAAATTCCGAAAAGTAAATTTTAAACTATTAGCATCACTTTTTGGTTGCTTAAATCTACAAAAAACTAATAAATGATCCGTAACATCAGGATATTTTACACCAAAATCAATTGGTTCCAAGTCCGATGATATTATCAAAGCATCCAGCAGTGTTGCAGACTGACGATCAACACGTGTCGCAGAATTTATAATTTGCTTTAAACCGAAGGAATCTAATGCATCTAAAAACTGAATAGTATATTTATTTTCCGTATTTAACAAATCTATGTTTATATCTCCACCACATATAAATTTATTACAAGATATTACGAAATTAGATACACTATCTTCAAAAAAGTTAAAAAAATTTGAATAATTTTCTTTTAGGGTACGCGGAGGTCTATAAAGGGTACCAATTATACAAGTACATTTTGAGAGGTATACTTTTAGCCATAATTGTTCAAGATCATCAGCACAAGAACCGCCCAAATTTATATACTTTAACTTATTACTTACGTAAGCTGCAACACCTCCTCCTCGACAGTTACGATCCATTCTTACAAGATCATAACCTGATATATTCAAATTAACAGAAAGCATTCGAGCATCCAGTCTAGTTTCAACCACACCGACCACATCATAACGCTCTGCATCTAATATGTCCTTAAATTTTATAAAGTTGCTGGTAAGCGATCTCACATTAAAAAAGCCAACAGAAATATTTAACATATTAATTTGGTAGAGAAAAAAAGTAAACAAAAAATTAGGTATAAAATAAAAAAACAAAAGAACAATAAACAGTAATTAAATAAATTTAATGGGATTGAAGACTTTAATCTAAACTTGATATAAAAGAGATATTTACTAGGAGAGTCAATAAAAAGTTGTACTTGCTAGATCCTATCTGGCTTTGGGCCAAGTCTCGTTAAAGCATCTGTATATGCTGAACATTTGATTTTTTCCCATATAGCATGATCCACAGGCACATTTTCATCATTAAGTTTTAAGCAATTCGAAGTTCGAATTGCTTAAAACTTAAAACGAATTTCGAACATTTTTTAGTATTTGACTTGCAGTCTCCTTTAGCTCGTGATTTTCAGCACAGATAGGACATGACCGCTTGTTAGTACACTTATTAGCAGAATGACCAAACCTATTACATTTGAAACACCTGAAAATGTCAAATGCATCATACACACTACAGCTATCATATGCGACAAACAGGTTGCCAGTTTCCAATGCCCGCCTGTATACTGATCTGTCTATACTTGAATTATGGTTTGAAATATATTTGGATTTTTCTTGGTCGGATCTTGGTTTTTAATATTTTACATTGAGATTCTTCATGAAATATATTTGTGTTACAGGCAAAGAGATAATTATAGAGATCATCTGACGAGTAGCTGGCAGATAAACCAACTATTCGTATTCTTTGGAGAATACCACCAATTTCTTTCACGTTATACCCGCCTGACATTTTCCTTCTTTCAAGGGCTTTCAGTTTCTCATTATCATCCTTATTTTTACATGCGATAATTACTCCACCATCCTTAGCATCCAAGCTGAACATTTTCTTCGCAAGGATTAATATTAGTCAATATATCAGCTTTCATTTGACTGTGTAGTTGTTTGTTGTCCTTTGGAATCAGAATAACTGGTTGTGACTTGTCGTTTAACACGTCAGAATATTTTAGAGGGTGTGTAGGTCCCTCCAATTCAGTAGATCGACCTACATCCAACTTTATCAAACTTATTTCGGTTTTTAAAGAAGACACCGCATCGTTCAACTTAGACTCCATCATATTTTGGAGATTGGCTGAATTAAGCGAAATACAGTTCTTCGTACAATCCGAGTACTTCCGAGATAGCCCCGGTATAGTGTTTAATAGCTGAATAATATCGGCAGTTTTTGTGATACACACAGCGTGGAATCCGTTTTTGCAGCCATCGCAAAAAACGCCAGGCCTGCTCCGGCTTATCTGATTTACACATAGCGTACAATTAACCATTGTAACCACTTATTAGAATATCCACTCTAAATAGTCACATTTCGATGTAAAACACCTTATTTAGATACACATTAATCACAGGAAGCACTAGTGAAATTTTCTGATTTTTCCGTACCAACGTATCACACAAAAACATCGAAAAACTGCGACCCGATGTTTAACGTGGCAGAGCGACGATAAAATATGATGCATCACATGAAAACACATTTATTCTAACATGTTTTTGACTAAATCTGTTTAGCTCTTTCTGTCTGCTTCGGGGCTTAATTTATAAATTAACAACTTCGGAGGCAACGATTCACTCAACGACATGTGGTGGTAATTTTGGTTCTTTACCCAATACCCTGGTGTGACCCTGGTATATCGGGTGCCCCTCAAAAGTGGCTCAGGCGTATAACTTTTTTATTTTTTCAGATAAAATATGAGATTTGGTATGTTAGTATATAACGTAAATTAGGATTGATTGACGTATTCAATTGTTTTTTGTCACTCCCTATTTCACCGGAAATCACTACAACTTTTGATTTTTAAATGGCACCATTATTCGATAGAAAATGACGCTCTGAATAGAATGACATATCATATGTCAACTTTTGACATTTTTGCTTAAAATTGTATTTTAAATTTTAATCTAGAGTGCCATGTCTGTGTTAAAAACACTAATTTTTAATCAAGGAGCCGTGGAAAAATAAATTTGATTGTCTAATGTTTTTAGTGTCTTATCCTGGCCGGTTAAAAGATGCCCAAATCGTATTTTAATCATATTTTAATTTTTTCAAATGTAATAAGGGTGGGTCATTAGCATATTTGGAAAAAGCATTTTTTTACGAATAATTTGGTATCACACACTTGGAATTTCGAGTCAAATTGTCGTTATGAACCGCATGTCACAATTTCAAATAAACCCTTTGAATAAGAAGACTAAGGAAGGAGCATAATGCTATCCATGTATTCATGCATGGTGGGCGGAAAAGCCACCATAAAAGCTCTCTAGGGTGGGGATCCTTGACAGTTCTGTTTGACGATTCATTTGACACATTTGAATTTGATTTGAAATTTTGTGGATTTGTCAGTCTTTACGGAGCTTATTTTATGTTATTTATTATTTATTCTACTACTGATAGTTGTATAAAGGTAGTAAATCTAGATGGAAATTGTGGCAGAACTTAAATTAACAGTGACACTATCGCGATTTATCGAAAAAGTCTCTAAAATAGTTGGTTGTGTAGCGTGCGGTAGATCTCGGCAAAAGTTGAGTGAAATAATGGAACAACTTTTCGCTAGTAAGTGACTATATAATATACATACGTGTAGTAAACCGATCATTTATGAAATTCACTTAAATTAACTAAATTATATATTTTTCTTGCATTTTAGCTTTTATTTATTACTTGTCAAAGATTAGATGTCAAAGAATTTAGATACGTTAATTTGACTTACCTGCTTCAGTAGCGTATCGGATGTTTGTGTTAATAAATACTTATTATAACTTATCTATTTTTATTAGAATTATATATTTTTACAATTTTAATAACTACCAATTTTAATAACTACCAACATTTATTCACAACGTAAAATAAAACAACAAATTATTGAGTCTACCCCACGTCTATCCTACATCATAGTTTTACATTTTTTAAATAATATTAGAACGACACTGATAAACTAAAAATAAGATTTTTGATATGCTCCTTCCTTAGTCTTCTTATTCAAAGAATAAACCATATCCGAAAATGTCAAAAGTTGACATATGAGATGTTATCGTATTCAGAGTGTTATTTTCTATGAATAAAGTAAAAAAATACCGATGGTGCCATTTAAAAATCAAAAGTTGTAGTCATTTCCGGTGAAACAGGAAGTGACAAAAAACCTCGCGAAAAACAATTGAGTATGTCAATCAATTCTAATTTATGTCATATACTAACATACCAAATCTCGTTTTTTTATCTGAAAAAATAAAAAAAACTTATAGGGGTGAGCCACTTTTAAGACGCACCCGGTATAACATTCCGGTTTATAACAAATCGTCCCATTGCTGCCAAAAGTCACTAACTTACTTTTTATTACTTCCGAGAAAAATGCGTCTAAAAATGAATTGCATTGCATAAAGATGTTATAGTTAGTAACTATGCGGTATTAAAATAAAACATAAATAGCCAGAAATCGTAGTTAATGACTTTTGCAATCGATTCTCCGCTTCAAAACATAGTTAGTGATTGAATTTGGTTGTTAGGAAAAATGTTAGTTAGTGACTTTTGGCAGCAATAGCAGAGGATGAAATAAACTTTTAGTCACGTGATTAAGCTTGACCGGCACAGCGTTGCCCACATTTATATATTTTCTTTTAATCAACATATTTTAGGAAACAAAATTAAATTAATTATAAATATATAAACAATTATTATTTACATCAACAATACTCACCTTCTTAACAACACTTAAGGGACATAAATGGCAATTACTACCGCTTTCCTGTTTAAAATATTGTAATAAAGTTGAGATGAGTTTTTAATGCTATTAAGCTATTTTGTACCACTTCGCACTAAAAGAAGTTCTAAAAAGAACAATGTTCGACTGCAAGGTCTGCTAGTAAAAAACGTTTAAGCTTAAAATCTCACAACACAATTCATTTAAAATAAAAACTCGTAATAGAAAACTAAAGTGTCAAAACGAATGACAATGTCAGGAAATAAGTAAATAAATGTAGCAACTTGACATTTCTTACAGCAGAGCTACCAGCTGAATCAGCGGGAAATTTAAATTCCAGTTAGTCAGCCTGGTGCCAAATATATCCATGGTTGGTAACAATGAATTTAAAAATTGCGCTCTCGAGTGCGTAACTGAAACTTTAATTTGTATCAAATATATTTGATATTCCTGATAGTATCTCAAATTGTCATTCTGTATTATTTTAGCTACTCTGGAACGCATGGGCGATCTGAAAAGTAAAGGTTTCGCTGGCTTCTTTCAACGATTCAAAAACACATACTTCCCAGCTATATCAGAGACAGATACCAGTATGCAATCAAATTATGAAGGATATCTAGTTCCACAGTAAGTTCTTGGTATATTTATATATATATATAAATTGTTGAAGGTTTAAGAAATTCTTTCAATTTACTAAAAGTAACTTGCTTTTAGTAAATTAAAATTTTTGTGGAAAGAAAAATATTGAAATTTTAAACATGGATTTGCTCTAACTTATTCGATCAATTTTGAATAGCTTATTATTGCCTTTGACTAAAAATATTAAGGAAGGAGTATATAAAAAATTTTAGATCGAACTTCACGGGGTCCTAGAATGGCCGACTTAAATTTCGGTTAAACAGTGCCGTTCTAATTTTATTCAAAACGTGTAAAAATATGACTCAGTAATTTGTTGTTTTATTTTACGTTGTCAATAAATGTTGGTAGTTATTAAATTTGTCATAAAAATATATAATTCTAATAAAAATAGATTGTTATAATAATTTATTAACACAAACATCCGATACGCTGCTGAAGCAGGTAAGTCAAATTGACGTATATTTATATTCTTTGACATCTAATCTTTGACAAGTAAATCATAGATAAAGGAAATAAATTTAGATTGGAATGCCCGTCAAAATTTTGGGTCGCGAAATTGTTTTGGGTCACGACCGTTGTACGCGATCTAGCGCTGCTATAGCGGTTGCTAAGAACAACCGCAAACAAAAACATAAATAATTTTCTCTTATCCATATCTCTTGTCAAAATCAGAATCTTCAAAAATTTTTAAATCTTTCAAAATCTAAACCGCTCTTATTGAAAAAATTCCGAAAAATGTTTAAAGCCTCAACGACGGCATTTTCAAAGTAATTATTGCTATTTTGTGAGTTTAATTTAAGTTTTATTTACCCAAAAGCTTCATTCAGAACCTTGCAATTAGTGGAATAAATTAGTGGTTTCAATTACACTTTATACTTTTTAGTTTACGATCATTCACAATGTTTAAAAAACACAATTAAAATTAGTAGAATATCCTAGCAACAGCTTGCGTTAGTCAGTTGTGTCCATATAGAAACCTTAATATTTAGCTTAAAAAACAATCAACTTTTGATTTCTAACCACAGTTTCACTTGACGGAAAATAATCAAAGGCCAAAATTACATTTCTCGCAAAATTTGAAGTAATTAGTGGAAAAGTTAAAGTTTGGTATCTTTTTCTACTAATTGAAGATGCACTAATTTTGACGTTCTGAATACTTACATTGAAATTAAAGGAACAAACTTCTATTCTAATTGAAACCACTAATTTATTCCACTAATTGCGAGGTTCTGAATGAAGCTAAACCCGTGATAATTGTGAAAAAGTGGCATTAATAACTTAAAAAGCTGTGTGAACTATGAACTGCAAAAACCATCGTGGATAGTGGCATAACGTTTGTTTCCAATGTTTCATAGTTATTTCATAAATGTCCTTATATAAAATAAGGTTTCTTATACAGGTTGTTAACTGAACAGTTACTTATAGGGGAACAGAATGGCAACACTGCCTATTGAGAATGCATGCACTTATAGGGTTTTCTGCCGACTCGTCCCGTCGCGTCGCGTCGTCTATCGACGAGTGGGCCGAGGTTGCCACATTTCAACCATAAAGTTCTTGCCGCGAGTAATAAACAAATTAACAACCTATATACAACACACTGTATTTTATTTAAAAAATTAAAAGAAAACAATAATACATTTTAATAAATAATATTTGGCGACATAATTCGGGAAAAAGCCGAACCGCTCCGAAATTATCAAAAGTTTTGGAGAGCGAGCGTTGTAAGAATAGCTCCAAATAGTATTTACATTGTCCTTATGGGCACTTTCCAATCTAAACTTATTTCTTCTATCTATGTAATCAACGTTCAAACTCAATAAATTCACTGAATTCTCTATGCCATCCGTTACCCGTTACACAATTATTATTCTCGTATACCCTCCAAAACTCATCAGAATTATTTTCCCACTACCAGAAAAATTTTCTGTTTATTCCTCAGAGTTTCAAATACTCGTTTAAATAATATTTCTGCTAATGAACTATAAAATTATTTAAACTAAAATAGTTTTGTCCATGCGTCCAACGACTCAGGGTCAAGATTTCGACAGACAACATCAAAAGAATGACAGAAAATAAAATTTGCCTGTGAATTAAAATGACAGACACAACTGTCACTACCACCATTAGAGATCCCCGCCTCCCCTTGGACAGATTACACACATATAATATTGTTATAAGTTAAAAATACCTTTTTTTGTATGTTAAAGAAATGAAGAAATATTATCAACGTATTTAAGTGTAGGACCTGGAAGAGGAGAAGAAACTGATAATGATTCTGTTAGACATAAGAAACGAAAATGTTGCGGGTAAGACGTAATTTTTGTTACTAAAAATATATACTGTATGATCGAAAAAAAAACAGTCTCAACTTGGGGTTGGTAGAGCTCGATAAAAGAAACATATTTTAATATAAATAAATTAATAAAAATAACCGACTTTGCTTTGAAATTTAAAAAAAATATTTTTTTTTGAGAACCACTGGACATTTTTCTAGGTTTTCGCACTTCTAAATTTAGTTTACTACTTACGAAGCGATATTATCAAGATATTATGATTATAACGAAAAATTCAAAAAAAATCGCGAAAAAACCTTCTTTTTTTTTAAGACATATTTCTGGGGTAGAAATATACCACCCCTAAAATTCATCATCATCATTTTCAGCTTATTCAACTATTTCCAATTATGGTGTAGCCTCCCTCACATATTTAGATCCTCTAATATCATAGTCCCATCTCAGGTTTGGTCTTCTTCTAGGTCTTTTATTTCCTCGTGGGTACCATGTTGTAATTTTTGTGGTCTATCTGTTGTTCGTCCTTCTTGCCAGGTGTCCTGCCCATTCCCACTTGAGAGAATTGATTCTGTGAATCACATCTATTATCTGGGTCTTTTTTTGTATATACTCTAATTTTTACGGTCTTTTTTGGTTATTCCCAGTATAATTTCGTTCCATTGAGTGTTGTGCGACCTGCAGTTTCCTTATAATGTAAATGTAAGTGTCCAGGTTTCGCATGCCTAGATCATACAGGTAGTACACATTGTTCGAATATTTTTTTCTTTAAATAAAGTGGCATTCATTTCATTTGTAATCGCAAAACATTTTCTGATGCACGTCATCAATCATATCGACATTTACATTAAAGTCTATAAACCTGAAATTTTGGCAAAAATGTTTAAATTTGTTGTATAATTTAAGATACCGAGCAGCTCCTCATTTTACTTTATAAAGCAAATGATTGTAACAGATATTTTATTTAGATTAAAGCTGCAAACATTAGTTGAAACCGAATTTTATTATCGCTATGTTGGCCAAATTGCGCAGTGTTCAGCAATATTGTCCTTTATTATTTGACAATTATCCTAATGTCAGTCATTATTTTGTATAATATCGTGTTGTTGTTGAATCTTTGTGAGCAATTCTCGTTTTTTTGCCTATTTTGTAGTCTTTTTTTAAAAATTGCACTTTTAAGCACAAACAGTTCTTTTAAGAACTAAATTTTCGAGTTGTTGACAAACTATTTTCAACGAGAACCTGACATTAAAGGCTGGCGCTCACTAGAGAGGAGCGCGCCGGAGCGCAAGGCAGCGCGGCGAAAAGGAATTTTTATAATATATATAGTAAATTCAACCCCAAGGTGCACCTAATATAAACAGGGGCATGAGGCAAGCACGTGAACAGGAACGCTGTAGTAATATAACCAGGACCGCACTAAGGTCGGATATTTCAAATCATAAAATTATTATGTATATTTTTATGATTTTTTTTACTATTGCTTATGTTTTATGATGGAAATTTATATTATTTAATTGGGTAATTATTGGGAAAACTGGAAATCGTCCGATTTTCACCAAAATTGGTATATACTCTATTTTGATGTCGTAGATTGTTTGTTGTCGAATCTGAATGAACCAACCAGCGATCTCTTACCCTTTTTCAGAAAAACGGAAAATAATTTCAACATTGAATTCTTCTTTATTTAGCTCTATAAAGTAATAATTTCATTATATTTTCATTATATCATAGTTTATCTAAAAGCCACACTTGATTGAGGATAGAAAAATGTCCAAAATTTTATTGAAAAACACTTTTCTTAACAAAATAACAAAGAAAAAAATTGAGACCAGATGGAAGTTTGACATTTCATATATTCTTCTTTCTCTCTCGTATGTAATGAGAGAGACAAATATATTGTAGACCTAATCTAGAAATTTGAAAATTTACAACGTTGCCATATCTTGTATTTTTTCGGGTGATTAGAGATTTTAAATAAATTACCTATTATGAGATCTGACACTAGTTAAATATACCTATATCCACAAAGTTACGCGAAAGAGTTTTGATTGCATTGCTTTCAACTTCTATGCGGAGCATATAATATATCTATGATGCATAGAATTGGTTAAAAAAGTAACAGAAAATAGCAAAAACCTCATTGTTTATGGAATACCTAACAAAATATGTGCTAGAAAACCTTAAAAATATGAGAAATTAAGAAAAATTCTATGTAGAGACTATTTTCCGTTTTTCTGAAAAACGGTAAGAGACCGCCAGGAAAAAAGTTCAAATTCGTAATCTACGACTTCAAAATAGGGTATATACCAATTTTGGTGAAAATCGGACGATTTACAGTTTTCCCAATAATTACCTTTAATTGTTATCAAACTACATAAAATTTGTGAAATAAAGTGAGGGGAAGGGGGCGAGGATATTAAAATATTACATTATTCTTTGGCACGACCGATTTTAACAAATTTGGTGTTTTTTAAAAGGGCTTAATTTGTCCTTTAAAATAATTATCTTTTTATTTGGTACTACTGATTTTTTTTATTGCCATTATTGACAGCAATATCTGAATATCGGTATAAATAGGTATCTGTTTCTATAATACTATTTAGCAACGGCTTAACTACGTTGAAACACCGGTTCCCATTAGAACACCGAAGTTAAGCGACGTAAGGCGATACCGGTGGATGGACGGGTAACCGGTTCGAAACTCTGTATCGTGTTGTTGTTCAAGGGAAAAGTGTAAAATCTATTGATATACACTGCTCATTCACGCCGGTTCGATGCCGGATGAGATCGGATATCTCGTGAGTAAGAGTTGATTTAGACACTTCCTAAGTCGGTAGGCCATTGACCATGATATGACCGAGGACCGCGGTTCGGATTCCGCGTAAACAAAGTAGGCCCCGTCCAGATTAGCCCTGGCAGCAAAAAGGAGACGTTAACTGAAAGCTCTACTTTACTTTATAATACTATTTGCAAAAAAATGCAATGATGTAAACGTTTTACATAATTTAATACATTTTTGTTTACTAAAAAAGCACTTAGATCTAACTTACTTTCGTAGCCTGCTGTATTATCCGTTTTAAAGTCTAACGACATATTTTTTTGAAAAGAAAAATATTTTATCAAATTTTTATTTTATCAAAGAGTATTCCTTAACGCGCTATGCAAGCCGACCCTGTAATAAATCTCAACCGCCTACCTCAACGGCTCTATGGCTGGCCGGCCAATCAGGGTAGATTTCGCCGCTGACCTGACACGTGCTGATCACGCACTGTGCATTTGTTTATACTGGTGCATTTTGAATTTGAATACGGTTTAGTTTTAAATCGTTTTGCTGTCGACCGCTTCGTTTCCGCCAAGTGAGCGCGCTCCCATTTAAAACTATGTATTCCTTTTCGCCGCGCTTCCTTCTAGTGAGCGTCAGCCTTAAGCGCGGCAAAAAGGAATTTTTATAATACATAGTTTTAAATGGGAGCGCGCTCACTTGGCGGAAAAGCAGCGGTCGGCAGCGAGACGATTTAAAACTATGTATTATAAAAATTCCTTTTCGCCGCGCTACCGTGCGCTCCGGCGCGCTTCCGTCTAATGAGCGTCAGCCTTTAAAGGTCCTTATTACCCTTGACTGCAGTCAGAGAAGTAAGTTTGATTGATAAGCACATTACACCACTTTGAAAGTTAGTTTATATTAAATTCTGTGATTATTAGTTTGTGTATTAATAGCACCTTCTTACTTGTTATTACCACTTATGGCGTTGTAAGATGTACAGGGTGGTCGAAATTGGTCTGTTTTAACAGAGAAAACCTATTTCCTGACTAGATAGAGCAAAACCGACATAGATGTCATGGGCTCGATTTCTGAGAAACATTTAATGGCGTAAACCGCCTGTTGATATTTTCAATGCCAACTGAGATACGGGGTGTTTTTGAATTTTTGACCATTTTGAAAATTAGATACCCATAACTTTTTTATTTTGCGGAATAATAAAATTCTGTAAAAACGGTACTAAGGCACTTTGTTAGGCACAATCCAGTGGCGTAATCAGTTTTTTTCTATGCTTGCTCTTTTTGTCAGAAATAATAAAAAATATAATTTTTTAAATGGAAATCATAGTTGGCTATGAACTTAAAAAAATGCTGGCGTTTTACCCTTTCCAATGATCTAAAGTTATGGACATCTATTTCTAAGAATGAGAGAAATATTAGGTTTTTGATCTTTATATCGAAGCGGGCTTTGATTTTGTGTTGACCTATTTGCCTAATTATTTTTTATCACAATTTAATATTCTATATTATTATTTATCTGCATAATTAAAGACTTTTGAAAAGGTAAATTAACATTATATATTAGTATTAGTAATTACAATTGAAATCGATACAATAAACAAAGCATAAAACTAAAAAAAAGTATTTTTTGAGTGACGAATATAGTTTTCTAAAAAAATAATCATCAAAGATGTTCAAACTGAGCACCCCCTTGTTGAATACACAATAAACATCTTTTGCGCACAGAGTTACAACAATTTATTAGGCGAACTGTTGTAATAAGTCCAAAACCTTGCCTAGTAGCCTTCTGTAATTCTTCTCTCGTCCCAATGGTTCTTCCCTTATATATAATGCCTTTTAATTTCCCCCATAAAAAAAGTCGAAAGGAGTTACATCACAGGACCCAAGCAGGCGAAGATTTGGGATCCCTTGTTCCAATCCAATTCTCGCTAAATTCCCCATTTAATAGATGCAGTTGTAACCCTGGCCAAAGAAATTTTCCAATGTAAAAAATTCAAAAAATTTCGTATCTCGGTTGGCAGTAAATATGAACGACGGTTTAGGCTTATTAACGTTTCTCAGAAATTGTAAATGGTAATACTAATATAGAATGTTGATTTACCTTTTCAAAAGTCTTTAATTATGCAGATAAATAATGATATAGAATATTAAATTGTGATAAAAAGTAATTAGGCAACTATATGTCAACACAAAATCAAGGCCCGCTTCGATACAAAGATAAAAAACGTAATATT